ATGACACACTGACCACTCGGCTACACTGCCACGAGCGCCTTTTGGGGCACAGGGCAAATGTGAATTTTCATCACCTTAAACGAAATTGGGTGAATACATCTATCTTACTTAAATATACACTCAATCGAGCCAAAAATTAAAAACCTAGATAGATCGATATAGAGTGGTTTGGTTAATTTTCTTTAATACTGGTCCTGTTATTTTTGCTCGATTGTATGAGTATGTATATTTGTGCGCGTTAGCGTCTATATGCAATACCGTTCCCAGTCTTGCCTTTCCTTGGAGGGTTAAACGTTAATGACCCTTGACTGAAAGGTTAGGACAAGTGGTTGCGTAATTTGATTTTCATGCTTACAAGCTCATATTTCATTATCTCAACCATACTTATTTACGGACCTAGGCAGTCTCGGTCAAAGATTTTCTCTTGGGTTATTAGGTCTTAAGGATCAGAACAGGAGATTTAATCTTTGACAAGTCTGATTTAGGAACCGTATTGCACTATTAGGTCTTAAGGATCAGAACAGGAGATTTAATCTTTGACAAGTCTGATTTAGGAACCGTATTGCATATTTAGGTCTTAAGGATCAGAACAAGAGATTTAATCTTTGACAAGTCTGATTTAGGAACCGTATTGCATATAAGTCTTAAGGATCAGTAGAAGAGATTTAATCTTTGACAAGTCTGATTTAAGAACCGTATTGCATATAGACGGCTAACACACACAAATACACATACTCATGCAATCGAGCAAAAATAACAGGACCAGTATGAAAGAAAATTAACCAAACCACTCTATATCGATCTATGTAGGTTTTTAATTTTTATTTTTTGGCTCGATTGAGTCAATATAGGAAGTAAAATAGAACCGGGTAGTGTTCTTGCTTTAGTGTTAACGTGAGACTCTTACAAGAATGAAACCCAGCTCTGATGATTTCCATCGAATGAGCTCAGCATGTTTTCACCCGAAACGAGGGAGGAAGTCTCGTGGACTGCTTCAACATGAATATGGCATAAAAGCCAAACGGCTGCAGTA